CTACTTCATGTTTTCTGATGTACATCGAAATCACACGCTCAGTGATTGGTTAACGAATATAAACTGTAGATATATAAACAGCGGTTCGATCAATGAAAAATATACCTTGGCTACCGTATCTTGTCTTCTGCTGCTTCACTACTCCTGATGCATAGATTGTACTAGTAGACACAATTCTAGAAGTGAACACTAATGTGAGTGTGTTATTGATTACAGCTTGATTCCACACCGTATTTTCATTACAAGTATGGAATTTTCATCATGTGATATCGATAGCCCAAATTTTGCAGGCCGACCATAGATATCAGGTGTGCGTCGGCAAACGATCGAACTCCGGACCGTGTACATGATCGGCGAGTGTCCTCACTGCTGTGCAACAGACTTTACCTGTATAACTGAGTAGCCATTAATTTATATAACTCATTAACTGTATTTTTTATAATATACTTTTACACTATCATTTCTTTAACTTAGATTTTTATTTTAATAATTGTTCTGTTAGCAAGCTCTCTATTAAGTCCCCCACACTTGCACTACGTAAGACTACTGGAATTTCCTGTATTCAGTTTCTCTATAGAACTAATAACAATTCGTTATTTTTGCAGACCTAAAAGTGTGCAATTAGTTGCTTGTCCAGCTCCTATGAATAGGTTTCATTCAAAACACTGATAAAAAAAGTATGATGTCATCATTCCACTATATGTATGTTCAGAATTCAATGGAATTTTCGGTATCTTTGATCTAAACTTTGATTACAAGTTACAAAGTTAATTCAAAAACAATCTTCACATTGTTTTCATAATATATCAGTAAATTCTTCACATTATTTAAAAGAACTTTTACAAGTTAACTTTTCCTCACAAATAACATAAGCATTTATCGTTGTTCACTCCAGTTTGTCCAGAACACATGGAATCAAACAGACTGAATTCTCTTTTTTTTCTTGAGTGTAGTGCTTCTAAGATTCGTATTTGATGTATACCTGAAGTTTAGTCATGATTCGCATACATAGTAAGTTTAAGTAGTTTAGTTGCAGCTAACTTTTAAGTCATTCATTACCTTATGTATTTCGCTTCTTGTCCTCCGAGTGGAACATAGGGCTTCAAGCTGTGAAGTTGCAGTGGTGCGGATTTTAAGTGGCATGCTCGCTAGCCCCACACTCAATCTCTCCAAGATTTCTGCAAGCTAGGCCCGGTTTAGGAGAGTGTCGACTGGGAATCATATACCGGTCCACAGGTGTGGTTGGTTGAACCACTGATGTAACTTTATAATAGTTGGCTTATAAGGTGATGCCATTCATTGCTTTCCACTAAAAAAGACTACTGTAAGAATCCTTTTTGTAAGGTTTGTATGAACCAAGGAAACCTCAGTATTACTTCAGACTCATTCGCTGATAGGTTAAGAAACTGTAATCGATAGTATCTACCTACAGAAAACTGCTTAAACGAAACTGCTACAAAGGCAACGGTACATGTGAAATCTTAGAAATTCGCTCTTCACAGTGAAACGTAAATTGATCGAAAGCTCCACTGTATTGCTAAATAATTCCTTATAGCTTCATTAACATTGGGTACTCATCATTATATAGTTTAAGCTCTTGTCAGCAATCGCTTTATCTATCTGGCTTATTATACCTGGCTATTAGTGCATGATCTTCAGTCAGTTATTCATACATTCCAGCTTCAGAATAGCGATCGCAAAAAACAGTTCGCTTCTGGACCATTAAATGGTTGTTTTCGCCTCTTTTTCCGCTAACTGCTTCCCCTGATACTTGGTGTAAATATATTCGAGTAAAAAAACACAGCCACCATCTACATAGCAGTCTGTTCCAAAGCATTTATTCAATTTCTTATATTTAGGCCCTCGCTCAAGATTTATCAAGCAGTCACCATATCACGCAAGTTGCCAACATGTTATCATTCACATCTGCATTTGACTATGTTCCCAGGTCTCTCTTGCTACGTAACCTTGCTGCAACTCAAGCTGAGAGCTGGACAAATAAGTGGTTGCATTCCTATTTTTCTGATAGAAAGCAGTACACCGTTTACAATGGAAAGTCCTCCACTACCTAACTTACTTTAGCTGGTGTTCCTCAAGGTGCTGTTTTTTCTTCTTTTCTGTTCTCCTTTTTCTTACATGACTTGCCTCATTCTGATGTAGCCACTTTTGTTAAGTATGCCGATGACCTCTCTGTTTCTATGCCTGTCAAGTCTCAGTCAGATTGTTCCAGTTTAAATAACTTTCTGTCGGAAATTAGTCAGTGGTCCTCTTCAAACGGTCTTAAGCTTAATCTGTCTAAATGTCAGGTAGTCAATATCACTTTCAGACGTAAACGTGACCTACAGCAACTAGTTAGCTCACATGGCCCCACTCTCATTGACGGCACAGAGGTTGAAAATACATCTAATGTCAAGTACCTTGGGCTGAGTTTTTCGCACGATATTTCCTGGTCCTCCAACATTTTTCTAGTTAATAGAAAGATGTTTCGCTTTACGTTCTACGTTAGGAAATTTAGGCAATCTGGCATAAAGCAGTCTTTGCTTTCTCAGTTTGTAAATTCTTGTATTTTACCCATCCCCCTTTACTGCTCCCCATTAATCTTTCCTGGACTACTTAAAAAGGATTTCGCTTCGCTGAGAAAAGCACTAAAAGCCGTTAGTAGGGGCAAGTGGGATATCGTTAAACCAACTGGTTAACACTATTGTGGATAGACATATTATGTCATGTAAGAAACTAGATATTTACTATATTGTCAGACCCCGAGCATCCTCTCTATACTCAGCTCTCTCCTTGCATTTCATCTGGTAGAACTAAAGTAGCTATAGGCAGCTATATGCTAGGACTACTACTACTCCACAATACCATATCTGACACAGCTGTTACGTGATGAGAAATCCGTTAGGTATGACACGATAAACTTACTGCGGCACCCTAACAAATAGTCCCATTAGTTTTTGTTTTTCATTCCTCGTTACTATTACGCTGTTGTTCTCATCTTCCATTCACACATCAACTTTATATTTCATACCCTGTGGTGCATTGTTCGAAATGTAAACGCTATGCTGTTTTTTTGTTTATTTATTTTTTCCTTTTTTGATTTTAAAAATCTTATAAAATTTATGAGGCAACTAGATGCAATATATTGTAATGCACGCTGAAAATTCCATACCTGTACCAAAAATACTGTTTGGAATAAAGCTGTTATATTATTATTATTAACTGTCTCTACACTTCCTGATTCGACTAAATGAACAGAAAGTCAAGTGGTGTAAAAAAGAAAGATGGGAAACTTTTACAATTCAGCCCTATTAAAATAGACACTTTTCAAATGACAAGTCTATCTAATGATATATTGAATGCAATCCCACAAAAGTGCCTATGACAGTCATTTTCATAGATCCAAATAACCTGGAAAATTCCAAAATAACAGACAGCCATCACCCACAAGAAACTAAAATATCAGATCAAGTTTCTACGTCGTACATCACAACGTGTGTTAGCCAGAAGATAATGTGGAAATTGCGAAACTGTAGAGCACAGACTGGTGATTCTGTCCACTACTTGATGAATGTCAAAACTGGAAAACCTGGCATATCCTTTTTTTGTTTTAACCGACATCTTTGTTTTAATAATCAAATTTCCGTTTTTCCTCACGCTTTGTCTCCCCACTCTCTGCAACTGTCTATTTGTCATATTAACTCTCTGGTTGCACTCTTCGGAATTAACAGGGATCTCTGATCCTCGTTTAAAGAGTATTCAAAGAAGTCCCTGAGAATATCTGAACAGGAGAAAACACCATGGAAGCTTACCTAGTGAACTACACCTCTGGATTATGTTAGATAGTTGGAGGCGATCGGCCACAGGAAGCCTTGCTTGACCTAGGTTTCGTGCTAGCTGACACTCATCAACCAGCAAAGCGTATCTGCAACCTTGAAGGAACTCATGTCCCTTCTGAAATACGAACCATCACCACCCAGTGCTGCAGTCAGAGACGTTACCACGAGCTATTTGGCCTAGCGACTGACCTTCTGTGTCCAATGCAAGTACCTCTGGATTATATTGTTTAAGTTGTAGAAACGAACTTAATCGTATTTTCAAGTAACTGTACTCCTTTATAACTAATTTACATTAATAATCGTTGAATTTGCTTTAAATGTCTTTACTAACTTGGACTTTAATTTGGATGCTTCGTATGATTCCTGGGTTTAATATTTAGTCTCACCCCCACCCCCAAAAAATACGTAGGAAAGCAGTATAGCATGAACCAACTTACAGCTGGGTTTATAAAAGTGAAGTTCACAAGATATGTGGATGAACCACGTCCACTGGGAACGATTTTAGAATATATATCGCGGGAATACTTCAAAAGTTAGTGTTAATTGCCTTGACAGCCCCCAGTCGGTTATCACATAAACACAACGTATTTATGTATTCCAGTATTTCACAGCAACAGTTTATTAGTTAAATTCTTCAGTGGGTCAACCCAATGGTATAATACAAGAAATTAAAATCATCGAAGGAAATATGAGGTTGAGTGCCGTCTCAAACCACTCGACTTGAATGGTATACCATGATCCAACCAGATAACCACATGTACGCAACAATATGATTGTACACTTTTTGTTAGATGTTGAAATTAGAGACACTGTACACGACTTTTGTTTAAAACGATTCACGTTTAATAAATACAGATAACTTCCGAGAACAATTCGTAATACTTTGTACTGTTTGTAGCTTCGCATTCTAACTGGTCATTACTGTCTACTTGCTCCACTCATATTGTGTTGTACGCTTTGGATTTATTTATTGCAGGAACCTATTATCCTTATCCGGAGACAACTCTACAACCAGCACACAGCTTCTACCAGTAGACACGATTCCAACAGTGAATGCTTCTGTGGATTATACTAATAATTTGTAGCAGTGAACTTCAAAAGTATATCGAAGCAACCTTTTAATTAATATAACTCATTACTGTATTTTTGATAATATATATTGTTACACTATCATCTCACTGATTTGGATTTTTATTAATATTAACTCATAACTCTATGCACATCGATACTCCTATAGAAAACGAAAAGGTGTTCAGTTTCTTTCGAGAAAAAAGTGTCCTGCTTACTAATCATACATTTTTAAAAATATTTTTCATTAGTATACGGCCCTAACCTGTTATACTGTGACTAATCGCTTCGGGGTCATTTGTACACTAACTCGCTTGCACACTCTGATGCAAGTTATTTAACTTTGACATAGTCCGTGACTCCGTGATTGGCAGAAAGACTAAGGTGTTTCCATTCACATTAAACTGGTAAAGCCTAATGAAAGCAACATTTGGTATCAAAAGACGTGTGGTGCCACAATGAGTTACAGGCCTTGTACTTGTAAGCAACTGTTAGATTGTTGCAAATGGTGGGGATCATTGTGCAAAATAATGAAATGCATTTGTTAATAACAATAGTATGGAAATGGTAGGATTACTGCTTCTTGTATAAACATTTTAATTTTTTCGAGCTCTTATTGTTTCAAAATGGCTTTTTATCTTTGGTGAAATTTACTCCATAGAATATATTTTCTCAGGCGCACAGACCTTCTAGACTCAGTTAGAGGAGGCGATTCGTCTATGCGGTATGAATACTGTAGAAGTTGTGGGTATTTGATCTCGCGTTAGTATACTCCGTGCTACCGTCATCCTCTAAAAAAAGGGAAAAATGGAAAGACTATTGATACAGTGGTGTTGATAAAGAATAAAATGAAGATACCATTGGGAAATAAGCTGAAAAATTGGGAAAATATCCGTAGAAAATAGAAAGGTTGATTGGGAATAAACTGGCGCTGAGATCCATTTCAGCTCTACTTTTTTTTAATCCACTGAAATTCCTTGTTTTATCTCAATTTCGGGGTAATGTCTTCCCTTTTCTGGCTGCTTCGGAAGCTAACATGTAAGCAACACTTGTGAAATCTAGAGCAATATGATTGTTCAGTGTTTTGTTAGATGTTAGAAATGGCAACATTGCACATAACTTTTCTTTTAAACAGTTCATTGTAAAATATACGTAACTTCAGAGTACAATCTGAAATGAACTGTGCTGTTGGACGCTTTGTCTTCTCCACTGGCGCATATTGTCTACTAGCTTCTTTACCAACCGTGTTGTATCCCTTGGATTTTGGCAGGAACCTCTCTTCCTCATACGTAAAACTATTCTATAACCAGGGAATGACTTCCACTGCGGTGAATGCTATTTATAGTCGGATATAAGTATTATGTCAGTTAAACGAATTCAGAAAAAAACAATATGCTTCGCACACTGAAATAAGCAATTGAAGAAGCGAACTGTAAGAAGAACGTTACAGCACTGTGCAGAATCCAACAAGATATCGAATGTGGTGATATTCGGCCAATTTGCAAATGATGTATGCAAAGAAAGGTTTAAAGATAAGGTATGTCTGTCTGTCTGCTTTCGATATAGAACTTTGCACACATGTGCGGCAGTTCAAGTCGCCACACTCCCCACATGTAGCACACAAACCAAGAGAAGAAAGTAGAAGAAATGCATAATATAGACAGTAAACAGAGGTGTGAGACAAAGGAATAGTAGTAACGAAGAACAATATAGTTTCATTGGAAATCATAAGTCACAGGGAGTGGATGCATCTGCGCCACTGAGAACGATTTTGAGCCATGTCACCAATTGTTTCCAACCATAGATTTTTACCGTCCCGAGGACCCCAGCCTGGAAGTCTACACCTTCCTACGTGACTTAGACTAACTGTTGTGGATTTCATTGACTGGTGCCATATAATAGTTTGACCGCCGCTAGCTTTTTTCCAGCCTTACCCTATATCCGCTAACATTGCTCAAAGATAAGGTATACCAAATTTATAAGCCTACAATGTGTTTGTGCTAATAAACATTGCCTTTGAACCTCATCGGTGTAATCTTGTTTACACTATTAGTAGACATGTGTCGAGCAGTTAAATCTTCTGCTGATTACGTCAGTCATTTTTAGCAGCGGACTCTAATTGTATCACCAAGTGACCACTAATTCGTTAGCATTATTTTTATAATATACTTTCACACTATAATTTTATAAACCTGTATTTTTAATCTAATATTTGTTAAGTTACCCAGCTCGCTACGAAATTCGCTACACGCTCCGAAATAAACACAAAATATGCAATCCAATTCAATATATTGTTTCGCAACTCTGTAATTACATGTCACAGAGTGAGAAATGTCTTAGCAGTATGAAATGCTGATTTCATGTGCAACATTTACACAAGTTTATTGGTAATAAATTCGAAAAATAATAAGGCTCTCTATCTACATTTTTTTCAGAGACACAATCAGCACATATGAACATATGCCTATCACGGAAACCTGTTGAATATATTGGGTTTTAAAGGACTTAAAAATCCTAAATAATCATTTATATATTGAATAAGAAAATAGCAAATCCCTTTGGGTCAGTAATGCTTAATCATAGATATGCTGATGGAAGTATCCTTAACTGAACGTAACGACTTAGGAATCGACTTGTTACCAGGGAATAGTCTTATGGACTTGGAATATGCAGATGACATAGTCCTGTTAGGGAAGGATGCTGACAAAATCCAGCAGTCTTCTGAACACCTTGAGCAGCAATCTTCGTATGTTTCGCATGCGATACGCCTGCTCCTGTAAAATGTAAGATGCTGCTACAGGACTGGACTAAGTCAACTCCTAGCTTAGTGATACGGAGTAGTGAAGTGATAGAACATGTTGACCACTTCACCTATTCGGGAAGTTCTATCAGCACCAACGGACTGATTGGCGACGAAATCTCAGCATGGATCCAAAAAGCTCGAGCTGCCTTCGCCGACTTACACCATCTCTCGCGTAGGCGTGACATCCGGCTATCAAACAACGGACGTATTTACTGCTCAGTAGTTCGCTCCGTCCTTCTCTATGGCTCTGAAACATGGCCAATACGAGTTGAACACATGAAAAGGTTGACTGCTTTCGATCATAGATGTCTACGATCTCTTTCTCACGTTAGGTGGTTTCACAAGGTAAGTAATGTTCACGTTAGGCGTAGAGTGTTGGGCAAACACGGAAAATCAATCGACGAGGCTATAAAGTTACATAGATTGAGATGGCTAGGTCACGTGGTGCGCATGCCTAACCATCGCCTCCCCCGACGATGGGCATTACTAGCTGATATAGGTGTAGGTTGGAAAAGAGTAAGTGGTGGCCAAACAAAAACATCATCATGCCTCATCAATCCATGAAATCCTGGACAGTTAAACTGAGGCGGTCAGGTAGCGAGATGCAGACTTCTGGGTTGGGGCCCTCGGGACTCTAAGAATCAATGGTTGGAGACGACAGGTGGCATGGCTCAAAAACGTTGTCAATGGCCAGCGCAGATGTATTCAGTCTCTGTAATCTTTCATATTCCTTTCTACCATTACCCATTCTGTTTCACTCTTATGCTTGTCAAACTCTATTGATTCTCTTCACAAATCTTCTTGTCTACCTTTGTGTGGTATTTGGAACGTGGCAGCTCGAACTACTGCACTTCGGTGCCAAGTTTTATGTTGGATCCAGACAGACAGAGATAGTAATGCTTAAAATATGCTGATTAATTTATTCGACCTATTTGTTTAGAAATCCTACGCTTGTAACAGATGGATTCAACAAAACGATGCAATAAATACGAGTTAACCAGCTGCTGCTAGCTAATGTCGGCATCTCGTTTCCACTTAGAAATAGAACGATTTATCAAAAAAAAGAAGCCTGCATTGTTTTGAGCTAATGTAAACAACAACATAAAGCTTATCCTAAAGAGTAAAACTACTTAGGTAGTTTACACACATCCATAACGATACAAGCAAAAAGGTGAACCTGGATTCAGGCAAATAAAATGGACTAAACGTAATTTAATTCTTCCATATATATAAGGTAGAAACATTATTATAAAACTAAAAACATACCATCTGGGCGAGTATTTACATGAGAACGAAACAATGGGTAATTTAGGAGTTCAGATGCCGTTGGTCTATCCTGGGCAAGAGGACTGAGGAGACTCTATCAAAGTGTAAGAAAAGAAAAATTAATAATAATACATAGTCAGGTAAGTTGAGATAATTGCAAAATTATTTTCACCAGTCAATAAGTAATACTGGTGACAGACTATAATTACTAATTGAAGATAAGAAAAACTATGAAACAAAAGGCAAAAGACATATTACAGCAAATTTGATTTATGCTCACTAGATTACGACTAGTGACTTCACTTACAGATCACATTTAGTGATTATCGAAGAAGCCCATCAATGTTGTAAAGTCTATCCTCCTACACTAGGAATTCATTTAACCAACTACCTTCATCTCTTTGGCCAGTAAAAACAAAGACGAAAAATTAGTTTCATCTGGACGCCAGTATTAGGTACGTGTCGATGCTATTAAATGTGTGACAGGCTTTACAAAAGCGAATACACAGAAGTCACTTTTTTAACTTGGTTTTAACTTAAAATGTTGAATACTAGCACTACTCATGTGAACTTCAACAGTCATGAATTGATTGTATTCGTTTTTAACACGAAAATGCAATGAGACAATATACGTCCGACGGACAGAGATGTATTGGCCATACTCTGAGGAAACCATCAAGTGATATCACTAAACAAGCCATCGCTCGAGTGGAACCCGAAAGGGAAGTGGCGAGTTGGTCCTCCAAGGGTGACTTGGAGGAGGTCATGTGAAGAGATGAAAGCGGGTGGGCAGACTTGGAGCGGGGTGGAAAAGTTGGCAGAAAGCCGAACGCAATGGAGACGCACAGCTGAAGCCGTATGTTCCTCTAGGAATTAAAGCATATAATAATAATACTGTTTTATAAAAGCCTGGCTGCATCCCAGTTTGCTTGTTAGGTATGCCAGCTTATGCACCAGAGGAGACAACAAGCCAAAATATTTGAAAAATGTACTAGAAAACTTGAATTTTCTATCACACAAAAAACTAGAGAGTAACTAGAAAACAATCGAAGTAATCTCTTGTGTTGCTCCCTTGGTAAATTGGCTGTTAATACATCTTCTTTGGTTCTAAATTTCATAGTAATCAACTTTTTATACTAACAAAATTTTTATTACTATATCCTTTAATTTCTAGAGGAACACAGGGCTTCAGCCGCGTGTCTCTATTGCGTTCGGTTTTCTGTAAACTTATTCACTCCGCTCCAAGTCTGCCCACATGCTTTCATCTCCTCTTCACGTGACCTCCCCTCTCACCCAGGACCTTATGGTTACAAGGCGAGCTCGAACCCCAAACTAGGACGAAACAGCTGTCCAGTACTCTCAGGTTTTCCAGTGGTTCTCTAACCAATATCAGCTCATGATGAAATCCTGTAAGCACACAAAGTGTTGGAATAATTCCTGTAAATCTTACTACTATTGCCTACTGTAACGGAACAAGAAGTCTAAGATGCTCATAAAACAAACAGAATGTGAAAATCTTGACGTTTTAAGTAGTTTGATTAGTGCGTCCAGATGACCCCCTATTCTGAAACCGTAATTGAGTGGGTCAATTGTGTATAAAGCGAAAATACAAACTATTTGACACTACACTTATGTTTCTGCTTGTTTGCTATCAGTTTTCTTTTTGTATCAAGTGAGAAATCAGGTAAAGAACAAATACCGTAGGAAACAAATTACTTACTTTGACAACTGGTCTCAGAGAAACTGGGAGCACAGAGAGGTCGGGTAGACAATCTGTCTCACGAAGCTGTTCCCAAACAGATGCAGACATTGGCCCACCGGCCTGAAAGAACAGAAAGCATACATTAATAAAAGCTATGTGGTAAGTTGTATTTACCTAAGTTTTTTCTGTAGTAACAACAGACAATCGTAGATTTAGAAAACGCGCTAGTGAGTCAAATGCTTATGACTGCGTGAAATTAAGTAATGTTTTCAATAGGCTACAAATTGTGCAGAGAAGCTTCAACATGCACTTCCCATACAAGGCGCTGTGGTCAAATTTGTACGTGTTGTGGAAAAACGCCCTAAAGTGTCCGCTTTGACTAGTTATCGTTAAGAATGCTTCTCTCACAGTCTTGCTCAGTTCTATCTTGAATATACTATTCTTATTTCATTTTAAAAGAACTGAATGTCTTATTCGACACTGACAGGACTTTCAGTTGACATAAGACCTGGCTTACGAAGAGGTCAACAGTCACAATGAAAACTGAAGAATGTTTGTGCCTTTTTCTTTACCTTCAATGTATAAAGCGTTCTCTTACAAGTTATGTCAATCATAAACCTATTTTAACAGAAGAAGTGGAAGAGGTTGAAAGGTAGTATTCACTTAGATGAACTGGTAGGGTTGATAGGCAATTAGTACTAACAAGAAATGCCTGAAACGGCTTCTGTGAAGTGTCTAGTTGTTTTAAATGGCGCCTTTAAAATACCTTTTGAATGCTAAACGTACTGAGTAGCACATTTTGTCTTATAATAGGGTGACGAAATGCCGCAACTACTAAATATTTATATAGACTGCATTTTCATTATTTGTCATTATACTGTTGGCGTGTACTACGCCATGATGTTATATAACTCCCTTATATTCATCGTCTAAAGCTAGTATATAAGCATTACAAAAAGAACATTCATTAAAACTAACTCACTGAATGGTAAAGTGTGATGCCTAGGGCATACAGGTCACGACCAGTAGCAGCCCTTGCTGGCGGACTGGGATCGTTCAATCTTGGGAGATATCGTCCGTCACCCAAATCTTCTCCATCACGATCTTCACCAGCTCGAGATGCCCGACCAAAATCAGACAACTTAAAGACTATTCCTGTAGTATCACCAGCAAGCAGAAGCTAAGAAAAGAATCACAATGTGTATAAAGACATTTTTTGAACTAACCTGGACACATGGACATAACATTATCTTTCTACCAAGCTTTACAATATCCAGTGTTTTACTTTGACATTACTTAACATTTTAAAGAATTGATCTAACAGATATAAGCACTTGATTTTTATTCCCCAAACTGTGACTTGTATATTACAGTTCGTGATACATCTAGCAAGAAATCTAGTAACAATATTTTGAAACCAACAAGCCCTCGGATATAGTTTTCTGGAACACTGGTGATTCGTAACGATACTATTGGACTGTGGAATCAGTAACTACTGCTCCGATCCCTTCATGGAGTTGGAGTCTTCGGGATGTTAAAAATCACACCTAACAGGCATTTTATTGTGGTTCAATGTCTCTGAACGTGTTTTTCACCATTGTTTTGTTATGTTTCTGTTCTACTCCTTCACATCCGCTTTATCGAAATGTGGCAACTTGAAATGATACAGTTCTGCTCTAATTCCTTAGTTATCACTAGTCAGTTACACTGATGGTTGCGTCTAAGGTTAATATGGAACTGGCCATTTATAATTCTCAGTTACATATTTCTTCTACTGAAATGAAATATTTCTGCTTATACTGTCTTTATTAACAGCTAAAATACAGTTAAATTGTTAGATTATTCATATGATAAAAAAATGACAGAAGCTGAATAGGGGCGGAAAGTTACAGCTACGGCAGAACTATTTATCCTATGACAATTCGAAAGTCTACTATGACTAAAACCATGCCAAGAGCGTTAGGAATTAAGTCAAACAACCGTATCCCACAGAGACCGATGACATATTTCTAGACCATAGACATAAACAAATACCGAAAAGCCTGAGACATTGTGCGTAATAATGACTACTGAAAACCAAATAAAAGCCTACTTATCTGAGGATACATAGTACATGGACTACTGATTTGAATCCTGTTCAGCGGACTACAGTTTGGATGGCCAATTATTGTTGACAAATCCTAAAGAATAAGTACACTTGACTTTACGATATGAACATAAAAACTGTACATTTGTAGAACAACTTGACAATGTGATAAAACACTCGGGAGTGCCAACAAAAATAGCAGAAAACATACGATAGATAAATAACTACCGACAAGGTGCAAAAACGTTAACAGTAGCAAATAACTGAGTATCATACGACTATCGCTATTTGTTTTTGTTACTTAATTTCCACGTATACACTTTGCAGTTCAGACCCCACATAATTTTGGTACCCCGAAATTCGGGTAGTGAATTCGTATAATACAACCCACTTACTCTAAATAATTTAATGTACAGATATGCATTATGTTAAAGCACTAACATAATAGCATACTTAGAAAAAACAGAAATAAACGTACAATTCAACCACTTTTAATAAAAACTAACCTTATGACAGTAACGCTTAGCATCCATTTCTATAGAATCCTGTGCAGATGCTAAGTAGGCTTCTGGTCTGCTTAATTGTATTAACACATTACTCGGTTTGACATCACCATGAACCATTGACCAATAAGTGTGCATATAGTGAAGAGCACTAAGGATATTTGATGCCAATATGATTAAGGGTTTTTCTGAAAGATAGTTACGGTTTGTATCGGATGATAAATCAGATTTAGGGGAAGGGTTGTCGCCTTCATCAATGCAAACTCTAGGAGTGACGGCTACAGCCTCAGACGTGTCATGTTGTCTATCTGGATGTAGTAGATTGAATAAGCTTCCACCTAAACACAGTTCCAACTGTGTATAGATTGAATCAGCCTCGTACCAAGAACTGTAAAAACGAATGATGTTTGTGTGCTGCAGTAATGCTAAGGCTTGTACTTCATTAAGCATTTCTTTAGAAGAACTGAAAAAAATTACAATTTCTGTAATGTCAGCTTAAAATGTTATGATAAGGTATGCTTGATAAGGCATGAAAGATAGGTAGCACAACTTACAGAGTAAAGAAGAACAAATGATCATGCCAGTCAGCATTTATTATTGAACCAACAGTTAACAAGTACTCCAGTATGAAATAACTTGTCACGTTCCCTACAAATTGACACTTAGCAAAACACGTCAGCAGATAACATAACTACGAAGTTTTAAATTATTTTGTGCTGGCATGTAGGAACAATTAAAAGAAAATCTAATGTGAACTACACTACAAAACGCCAAGTGTCGGAACTAGCCTGAACTGATAGGATGATTGACGTGATCTTGACTACCCCGTGTACAGTTAAGAAAAGCTAAATAGGGTCTGATACAACCTAAGGCTGTGGCCGAAAACTATAAGAAACCGTATAACAGAATTCAGTAGTTATCATCGTTTGTGAATTTATAAGATTACCAAAATAAAATAAAACCAGTTCACTGAAAAATAGGTCCTGACACAATTCTGCCAGAAATCAAAACACTAGAAAAAATTGTGATAATCCCTTTGAAGAATGTTTCGAGACTCAACTTATCACATACATGAATTAAAAAACTCAACGTGTCGCATTTCAGAGGCTTAGGCGTGAAAGATTGTTAGTCTTACATCCTACTAAGTTTACTATAACACCTCAATTGAAAACTGTGCTCATCAAAAGCATACGCAGTACATGTTTGACTTCTGTTTGCCGCTAAAGTATTTCCACAGCTAGAAATCTTAACTTGGATTATCACAACAGATTAACATCCATCTAACTAACTTTAGACGCATAGTGAGCATTAAGTACTCGAGTGACTTAAGCAATACAAGTGAACATATGACAGGATAGCAACCAAAGTATTTTGACACATCAAGTTAGATGGATTCACAAAGTTGAATTTAATTTATAGATATGGGTCTTACCTGCCACCATAATTTTCCATCTCAAAGTCGCAGCGTGATCTCTTCAAACAGTATAGAACGCCACTCAAACGGTGCCGAGCTTTATACAATACTGCCAATCTTGTCCGACATATATCCACTAAGTTTGAAAATGATCCCGCAAGACTTGGGACTTGGTCATAAAGAAGAACACACATACTTACGTGCTGCAGTTGAATATAGGGTTCATCCCTATGGGCCGTTCTTCTTGTTGATTTTCACCAGGTGTGCGTTGCATCATGAATCTATTCACAGTACGTCTGTTAAGAAGATCGGGACAGACATCTGCAAGACGGGCATACCGTTCTACAGTCGATGTGGTTTGCTGACTAATAGTCAAATAAGACTGTACATTTAGATCATCAACCAATGAAAGCTTTTTAAATTCATCAGACTTGCAATCCGATTTGTCATTTGACAAACGAGCTTCTGTATCGAAAAGAAACTGTGGACTCATCATTAAATTTGCTGTCTGTGTTAAACGCGTAGATATGTTAAGTGCACGCTGTTCCATGCAACGAGCATAAGATAGACTGTGCTGCAAGTGGTCACTCAAATAACCTTTACCAACTGATACACCTGACATATCTGGATTGTATGCATGACCATCTGGAGAGGAGGTCTCTTCATAAAAGCTCCTTTTAGATGGCTCATCAGACCCCAGAGGGGAACATCTTACAGGAAAATGGCAACCCTTTAACACAGGAGAGTTTAGTGATCCACAGTTTTCTATGGAATTGTCTGTATCAGAATCCCTAAGGCAGGAAAAAGCCGGTGAAAGCTCCAAGTTACGTCTTGATGTGGCCGGCGTTGAAGAGGACGGTGTCGGCAACGCACCACGTTTACTACGCTTCATCCCGTCATGCAAAAAAACTGACGTCTTGAAATTAGCGCCGCACCTTGTCTGGCGAGATAATGGTGCACATTAACTACTTTTCATGAAATGAATTTTAAACATTTTATTTTGTCCAGATACTCACCCAGCCTGTATAATATTTTTAAAATAGTTTTCATGGTTGTACTGTATATAAAAATATATACAGAGCAGAATGCACTGTAAACTGATCCCAAGAATAAATCCCCAATCATGACTCCTGGAAAATACATTGACCACAGAGAAGCCGAAGCGATCCACAGACATATGAAGCCTTTCCTCAGTCATTTATAAGGCAGCTAAGTGACTTGGGAGAGAACAATATAAAAGGAGAGTAGCATTTTCACGTTGTGAAGTAACTTCTGCTTTTGTTGTGCAAATGGCATCAGAAGCTTTTTGGTTTACTTTAACTGGTTTAATTAGTTGAATAAGTGTTTATTTTTGTACACTTTTGTGACTTTTGTGTGGTTTTTATATCTCTGCATTTAAGTATATATATATATTCGACTACTGCGCTACATTTTCCTTATTAATAAAAACTCTAATTTCTGTAAAATTTTATGCCAAGAGTTTGCGGAAATTATCACAATTATTAACCTTTCGAACACTGAATCCAAAAAATATAATCTTATTGACAGATAATACATATAACTAACTAATTGGATTTGTGAAATTTTTAAACATAAACACATCTATAATTGTATATATTGTTGGATTTATATGTTCAAGTTGCTCCAAGTCAGTGAGTTTATGATTGAGATATCATTTTAGTTAACTGTGCTGAACTATATTGCATGTTATCTTATTGTATAGTTGTCGTCGCTTTTTACCCTTTTTTCTGTGAACTGTTTCCTTTGTTGATGTTGTTCTCATTGTTTGTCCGTTATTTTCTGATTTTGAGGGGAGCAACCCAAAAAGTCGCTTCTCTCTAAACTTTAACTTAATGTAATCATTCCTTTCTCAGGCGTGAGGCTAGCAACCCCACCCTGTAAACAAAGTTGCTACAGAACCTTCAGCATAATGAACCTCTTTGCACCAAAAGAAAAAGTCTGTGTGGGAACATGGAACGTCTGAACTATGTATGAGACAGGGAAAGCTGCCCAGATCGCAAACGAGATGAAAAGATACGGAATACAAGTGCTAGGAATATGTGAAAGCAGATGGAATGGGAGTGGACTGACCAAATTGTCAACGGGTGAGTCAGTGATCTACTCCGGTCACCCAGAAGATAACCACACGCACACCGAGGGCGTGGCTATCATGATGTCACCAACGGCAACGAAAGCCCTGATACAATGGGAGGCGATTTCGTCCAGGATAATGACTGCCAGATTCAACTCCAAAGGAAGGAAAGTGTCAATCATACAATGTTATGCACCCACAAACAACGCAGACCTCGAAAAGAAAGAAGAATTCTACAGGCAACTACAGGCAACAATGGACAATACTCCAGCTGGCGACATTGAAATACTAATGGGAGACATGAACGCCAAACTGGGACCAGACAACACAGGAAGGGAACTCATCATGGGTAGAGAAGCTCTAGGAGAAATGAATGAAAACGGAGAACTCTTCTCCGACTTCTGCGCCTTCAACGAACTAGTGATTGGTGGCAGTGTATACAAGCACAAAGATATCCACAAGGCTACATGGGTGTCACCAGACGGGCAAACCAAAAACCAAATCGACTTCATCTCAATCTCAAGGAAGTGGAGGCGCAGCCTACTGGACACAAAAGCAAGAAGAGGAGCAGACGTTGGCTCAGACCACTATCTCGTACAAGGGACAATCCAAATCAAATTAAAAGCTTTCAGGGAATCAGGAGCTGCAGATAGACCACAAGCCAAGTTCAACACTGAAAAACTGAAGGACCAGGCTACAAAGGACATCTTCATTGCAAGCATAAAGGACAAGGCTGAGATACAAATCAACACCAGAGAAGAGGTCGGCATCGAAAAGCACTGGCACAACTTGAAAACGGTGTGGAGTCAAACCTGCATAGAAATTCAAGGCAGAAAAAAGGAACCTTTCGGGCAAACGTTCGACACAGATTAAGCCAATAAAGGACGACAATGGAAAGTCAATCACCAAAGAGGTGGAACAGAGAAAGCACTGGGTTGAACACTTCAAAAGACTTCTAAATCGTCCGCCACCTACAACGCGCCCAACAATACCAACAACGGAAGCAGAACTACCAGTGAACACTGACCCCCCGACGAAATCAGAAGTCCTGAATGCAATCAAGATGCTTAAAGCTGGGAAAACACCGGGACCAGATGGAATCCCAGCAGAGGCTTTGAAAATAGACCCAGAGACAACAGCGGACTTGATGACACCACTGCTGGAGAAGGTGTGGAAAGAGGGCAAAGTACCCGAGGATTGGAAGAACGGATACTTATTCAAACTTCCAAAGAAAGGAGACTTAAGTCAATGTAAAAACTGGCGTGGAATTATGCTTCTGTCCATTCCAAGCAAGATACTAAGTCGCATCATCCTGGAGAGAATCAAACAAGCCCTAGATGAAAAACTTCGTCCGGAACAGGCTGGATTCAGGAGAAACAAATCATGTATTGATCAAATCGCCACTCTACGGATCATCATTGAACAAAGCTTGGAATGGCAGTCACCTCTCTATCTCAACTTCATCGACTTTGAAAAGGCCTTCGACAGCGTCGATCGAGAGGTCATTTGGAAACTACTTCGCTACTACGGGGTCCCATCGACAATTATACACCTCATCCAACAGTTATACGACAATGCTGCATGCCAAGTAATCCACAACGGGAAACTTACGGAAGCCTTCGAAGTGAGGACGGGAGTGAGGCAAGGCTGTCTACTATCACCAATGATCTTCCTGATTGCAATTGATTGGATAATGCGACAGACAACGGCAACCAACGAGGGAACAGGCATAAAATGGACTGACACAAAAGACTTGGAGGATCTGGATTTCGCCGATGATATATGTCTGATTTCCCATAAACTGGAAGATATGCAAGTGAAAAGTAACAAGTTGGCAGAAGAAGCATCAAAGATAGGACTTCACGTGAACATAGATAAAACAGAGATGATGAAGATTCCTAGCCAACATCAACAACAACAACAGACAACAATAAGCATAAATGGGAAGAACCTGAAAGAAACAACCTCCTTCACCTACCTGGGAAGCATCGTCTCAACTACAGGCGGAACTGACGAGGACATCAAAGCCAGAATCGGAAAAGCAAGACAAGCTTTCATTACTCTCAAATCTGTGTGGAGGTCAACAGCACTCAGCATCAAAAATAAGATCCGGATTTTCAACTCCAATGTGAAGTCAGTGCTACTATACGGATCAGAGACTTGGCGAGTCATAAAGAGCATCTCAAACAAACTTCAAACCTTCATTAACAGCTGTCTCCGCTCAATACTCAAGATCAGATGGCCAGAAAAGATCAGCAACAGGGATCTCTGGGAGCGAACCAATCAGGAACCGATTGTGAAACAAATAGGCAGAAAGAAATGGAGATGGATTGGCCATACGCTGAGGAAACCATCAAGTGACATCACTAGACAAGCCCTCGAGTGGAACCCGAAAGGGAGGCGGCGCGGCATTATGCCCTTTTCCGTCCCAAACAATATGCGTCATTTTACGGAGGGTATATTATTGTGTCTTTCAAGAGACTTATATTTTCATCATCTCTCCTTCAGTGGACGTGTTGGACATAAGTTAGTGCCGCATATTTAACGATTTAGTCGATAATCGATATTGAAAAGGTGTATTTTTTTGATTTTGATTTTTGATTTTTGATTTACAGCTTGATTCCACACTGTATTTTTGGTACAAGTATGGAATTTTCAGCATGGATATCGGTAGCCCAAATTTTTCAGGCTGACCATAGATATCAGGTGTGCGTCGGCAGGGGATCGAACCTCGGACCATGTTCATGGTCGGCGAGAGTCCTAACCACTGTGCCACCGACGCACAATTAATACATGAATGTATGTGTAACACTTTGACACTGTGATAGTAATTTTATTTTATACTAACTTGTTTATTGGATACCAAACACACACACACAGAGGGAAACAGTATTATATACTGAATGACGAAATTCCGAACGCAATTTACTGTTCATATTCATATCAATTGTGATACAATAAAATACAATTATTAATACTTTTCGTATGCAATCACTTAACCTTAAAATAAGAAATAACACGAGTGAGCTTTAAATCCTTTTAACATATGACAATTATGAAAACTAATGATGAAGTAGAGTCAAAAAAATGATGATTAATTAAGTTAGGTTTCCACAGGGATTCAAAATAAGCCAAGACGGGACTTCAGGTGAACACAGGGAAGATATAAGTGTGAAGACACACAACCAACGAGAACAACAAGCGCCAATCACCATCAACGGGAGCAGTCCAGAGGAAGTCATCTTTATCACATATATAGGTAGCATCCTTTCAACTACAGATGGAACGAATTAGGACGTTGAAACCAGGATGGGAAAAGTACGACTGGTGTTTATTACTAAGAAATCAGTGTGGAGATCTACTGAACTCAGCATAAGGGGCAAGATCCAAATTTTCAACACTAATCTCAAGTCAGTTAATCAGTGCTTCTATGTGATTCAGCGACTTAGCACTCAATTTACCAAAAAAATTTCAACAGACTACTGCAGAACTTCATCAACACCTGTCTTCTCTCGATGATAAATATCCATCGGGGAACACTGACAGTGCAACTAACGAACCAAGAAGCTGGGGCCAATAAATTTGCAGAAGGAAATGAAGATCGACTGCACACACGCTGAAAAAACCATTGAATGATGGCGCAGACCAGGCAGGCCTTCTAGTGGAACCCGAAGAGAAAACAACGAGTTGAGCATAGATTCAATGGTGACATGGAGGAGATTATGTGTGGGGGGAAATGAAAGTTTATGTGCAATCGTGGAGAATAGGGTGAAATCGCCCTATATCCTAACCCAAGGGAATAATGACAATATAGTAATCGGTCAACTTCCTTATAAAAAAGCATAATTCG